GAAAAATAAGAAAGAGAATTACATCATCGATTGATACGTAATCAGAATACTTAATCTATTGGAATTCTCCGACAACGAATTTCTACGCCCGTTTCGGATGCTTAAAGATTGTTTTGTATTTGTCTAAATACTGAAAATTCATTTAAAATAAAAATACACACCTGCAAAAACAAAAGCTCAATTCAATGCAACTGCACATCTTTAGACCGAAATGACACATTAAAATACTTAGGCGTAGTGTTGGATGAAAATGGGTAGTTCTTCAGAGTCAAAATTTTCGATTTCTATGGATTTTCTGTAACCAACTAACAAAACGGCATGTATTTTTTGGACTGTTTTATTTGTATCTCTATCTGGGACAAAATATATTTTTCAAATAATTGCTGTCTAGGTACAGAATAAAAATATTTGAAGTTTGTTCTGATTCATATAATATGTCCGTTTGCCATTTTCCGGAACAAAATGGTCGATGTCGCATTTTCCCTTTGATAAATCAATATAAATAATAATTACATCGAAAGGAAATGAATTGTCCTCCTACAAAAAAAATGGGTATTAGTTATAACTACGTTAGTGTGTTTATAAATAAGTAACTAAAAAGTGTCCAACGTATAATACTGATTAATTTATTATATTATACATTTAATATACACGGCTATTAATGATGATTAACGTATAATACACATTAATCATCATTAATAGCCGTGTAGTGGCGGTTGAGAATATCCACTACCCCATATCTTCCCGTGGGTGTCGTAAAAGGCGACAGAGGGAGACAGGCAGGAGATGGGCAGCAGCATCTTCCTGATAACAACTGTGACATAATAAAAAACTGCGGTTGCCAACCCGCTCGCCAAGCGTGGCAACTATGGCAAATACCCCCCAATGAATAAATACACAAACAGACGGCCCCCAGTCCCCGGCGGCCCCGCTATTCCTGGCTACGGTGGCGACCATGGTAACGGCGGGGCAGGGGGTGCTAAGAATCTCCGGTGGAGGTTCGGTTGCCACCTACGACGACTCGACCTGGCAACATATAACGCACGCACCCTGAGGACTGACGAGAAGATACTAGAGCTGGAAGAAGAGGTAGACAAGTTGCGCTGGCATATTATTGGATTATCCGAGGTCCGAAGAGAGGGGGAGGACACGGCAATCCTCGAGTCCGGCAACTTGTTCTATCACCGGGAGGGCGACCATCTGTCCCAAGGAGGTGTCGGATTTATCGTCCACAAGTCTCTCGCCAACAACGTTGTAAAGATTGGGAGTGTGTCGACGAGGGTCGCGTACCTGATACTCAGAATCACCAAACGGTATTCGCTAAAGGTCATTCAGGTTTACGCACCAACCTCGGCACATCCCGATGAGGAGGTGGAGGAAATGTATGAGGATATTTCCAGAGCCATACATTCCTCCAAAACCCACTACACGGTGTTGATGGGAGACTTCAACGCAAAACTAGGCACAAGAGAAAGCGGTGAGCTGAAGGTGGGGAAATTTGGAGTAGGGCAACGGAACCGAAGGGGCCAGCAGCTGGCCGACTTTATGGAGAAAGAGGGACTCTTTATGATGAACTCTTTCTTCCAGAAGCGGCCCCACAGGAAGTGGACCTGGTCGAGCCCCGACGGTTCGACAAAAAATGAGATTGACTTCATTATGACGACCAGACGCCAACTGCTCAGTGATGTCTCAGTGATCGCAAGGGTGAAAACTGGCAGCGATCACCGAATGGTTAGAGGCACACTGAACCTAAACGTTAAGTTGGAGAGGTCTCGTCTAATGAAGTCAACGCTCCGTCCCCCTCGTGCTCTAATCCAGAATCCCGAAACCTTTCAGCTCGAGTTACGTAACCGCTTCCAGTGCCTAGAAGGTTGCAATGCAGTGGACGATATGAACGACAAGTTCGTGGAAACTGTCCATGCGGTCGGAGCTAAGTTCTGCAAGACCCGCCGCAGAATAACGCAAAAACTCTCCGATCACACTCTTAATCTCATGGCTGTTAGACGGGAGATGAGGCTGCAATCGTCAACAGATTTGACAGCATACAGGCAACTGAACAGACAGATCTCCAAATGCATGCGGCGAGACTTACGCAACTTTAATACTTCTCGTATTAAAGAAGCGATCGAGCGGAACCAGGGCTCCAAAGTCTTTGCCAGAGATCTGTCTGCCAGAAAGAGCCAACTGTCAAAGCTGAAGACTGAGTGTGGCAACATCGTTTCCGGGACACCTGAGATTTTGAGTGAGATTGAGAGGTTCTATGGGCAGCTGTACACATCATCGTTGGAGCCACACGTAAGTGTGAGTAACGATCCAAGAGCAAGTCTTATCCGACACTATTCCGATGATATCCCGGACGTCAGTCTGAGCGAGATTAGAATGGCTCTCCACCACCTTAAAAACGGCAAGGCCCCGGGCGAGGATGGAATTACAGCGGAGCTTCTGAAAGCGGGTGGAAAACCGGTACTTGAAGTCCTTCGGAAGCTCTTCAATTCCGTCCTCCATGGTGGCACTACTCCGGAGGCGTGGAGCAGAAGCGCGGTGGTTTTGTTCTTTAAGAAAGGCGACAACGCTCTCTTGAAGAACTACAGACCGATTTCCCTTCTGAGCCGCGTCTACATGCTATTTTCGAGAGTCATTACGAATCGTCTCGCACGCAGACTCGACGACTTCCAGCCTCCCGAACAAGCCGGTTTCCGAAAAGGCTTCAGTACCATAGACCACATACATACCCTGCGGCAGATTGTACAGAAGACCGAAGAGTACAATCTGCCACTTTGCCTGGCATATGTGGACTATGAGAAAGCCTTTGATTCCGTCGAAATTTGGGCGGTGCTACAGTCCCTTCAGCGGTGCCAAGTTGACTGTCGGTACATCGAAGTGCTGAAGTGTTTGTACAGTAGGGCTACGATGGCTATCCGAGTACAGAACCAGAGTTCGAAACCTATCCAACTGCAGAGAGGTGTAAGACAGGGTGATGTTATATCCCCGAAACTCTTCACCGCTGCGTTGGAAGACGTTTTCAAGCTACTGGACTGGAAAGGATACGGTATTAACATCAATGGCGAGTACATCACTCACCTTCGATTTGCCGACGATATAGTCATTATGGCAGAATCGCTGGAGGACTTAAGCATTATGCTCAATGACCTCAATAGTGCCTCCCAACGGATAGGTCTTAAGATGAACATGGACAAAACAAAGATCATGTTTAATGTCCATGTCACACCTATGCCGGTAGTTGTTGGGAGCACTATGCTCGAAGTTGTTGACGAGTACGTTTACCTGGGACAAATAGTCCGACTAGGTAAGTCCAACTTCGACCGAGAGGTCAATCGACGGATTCAACTCGGCTGGGCAGCGTTCGGGAAATTACGACATATCTTTTCGTCAGGTATACCTCAATCTCTAAAAACTAGATTGTACAACCAGTGCGTGTTGCCAGTGATGACTTACGGATCTGAGACGTGGTCCTTCACTGCTGGCCGTATGAGGACGCTTAAGGTCGCTCAGCGAGCTATGGAGAGGGCTATGCTTGGAGTTTCTCTGCGTGATAGACTCAGAAATGAGGATATCCGCAGTAAAACCAGAGTGATCGACATAGCCCAACGGATTAGTAAGCTGAAGTGGCAATGGGCCGGCCATATAGCTCGAAGAACCGATAACCGATGGGGAAGAAAGGTTCTCGAGTGGCAGCCTCGTACCGGTAGGCGTAGTGTAGGGCGACCCCCCACTAGATGGAGTGACGACCTGGTAAGACATGCAGGAAGTCGATGGATGCAGGTGGCTCAGGACCGTGCTTTGTGGCATTACTTGGGGGAGGCCTATGTTCAGCAGTGGACTTGTGAAGGGCTGTAATGATGATGATGATGATGATGAAGCTGCGCTTGACCGTACTTGGTCGGGAAATATTAATGAGAGTCTGGCTTCCTGCGCGGGGGGACGCCAGTCGTGCCATAGATAAAGAAATATGTAGCAAGCTAAGTCGTGCAACGAACGAGCTAGAAGGCGGACGTGCGGCTTTTTTGGCTTAGATCCCGGTGTTACGAAGGTAAATATCTGATTCATCTGTGCTTGGTTCAGGTGGCATTCTGATTACACTGCCTACTTTATAAAATTTATTTTATTGTTTTAAAACTTCAATCTGAGTTTCGTAAGGTGTTTTTGGGTTATAAATTCATGTAAAAAGATAACAATACTAAAGTCTGTATGTATGATGAGTTATGCAAGACTGTAGGCAAAATCCTGATTCATCTGTGCCTGATTCATATGGTCAAAACCCCATATAAATCATAAAATGAATTAGTTTTCGCCTCTCCAGCAGAAAACGAGCGCTTTTGTTGCCTACTCCTTGTCCAATTTTTGAGCGTGTACAAGTCAGTAGGTCTAGTCTTATTTATTATATTTACTTAGATACAACCTTTTGAATGATTAAAAAACCACAGGAGTATAAATTTATTCTACATATGACACTTTTGATAGGCCTTAGTTCTTAGTTAAGAATTAATAATTATTATTTAAGAATAACAATCACAACTAACAGTGTATTTATTACTAAAAATAATGTAAAGAAATTGAGACCAGTATTATTTAAATGGCACTTTTGACATTAATCTTCCGTATTAACAACCATAAAAACCTACTTATTCATTAATCTCTATCTAATTTCTGTTATTTTAATATTACAGTCCATAACAATGCCACAAACTAAAGATCAAAAGAAGGAGAAAAAGAGAATCGCAGAACTTAAAAAGAAATCGCATTGGAAACATATTTTACGAAAGTTTCAATAAAGATATACTAAAGAAATACATTTGAAAGACCAAAAAAATTCTGGAACTTAAAAGAGTAAATGAAAATTACCGGAAAAAGATAAAACGGTTAGAAAAAGATAAACGGGTAACAGACGTGCATAAAAGACAAAAGGAAAATCTATCTGGGAATGAAAAATACAGATTGTTGTTGAACCCTGTGCTACCGGAATTAAAGAAAATGTCACTATGTATTTTGAAGAAGATGAAAACAGTAGAATGTGCGCGGGAAAAAAAGAATTTGTCACCAAAGGAAAAATAAGAAAACAGAAGCGATATCTTAGCGACAACTTGCAGAATCTACATAAAAAGTATCTTGAAACCAATCCTCGATACAAAATAAGCTACAGTGCATTTTGCAAGCTTCGTACATTTTGGGTACGCGTACCAAACGTCAATATTCGTGAAACATGTTTATGTATAGATCATGAAAAAATGGAGTTGGTTGTTGTAGCCCTTCGGAAAAATTATCTGATTGTGGAAAAATCTGTAAATGAGATTCTACAATCACTATGTTGTGATCCTAGGAATGTTCACTGTCTGGCTAAGAAATGTGATAGTTGCAAAAATAAGGCCATTAATTATAAAGAATTTGACAATACCAAAGAAACACATTACTTTATTTGGAACAAAGTAAAAAAACTTATATCAAAGATGGAAAAGAAAAAGCTACGCTTCAAACGATTAAGGCAAAAGTTGCAGCGCATCCCAAAGATATAATCGAACATTTCGAAAAGCTGTTAGTACCTTATATGCGACACTGCGGAAATATTATAGCTCAATATAATTAATAATATTCCACAATATTCCACAACTATCACACAACGCCATCTAGTCCCAAGCTAAGCAGAGCTTGTGTTATGGGTACTAGAGACAACTGATACACATACTTATATATTTCTAAATACATAAATATTATAGATAAATTACACCCAGACACAGAACAAATGATCGTGCTCATCACACAAACATTTGTCCTGGGTGGGAATCGAACCCACGACCTCTGGCATAGCAGTCAGGGTCACTAACCACTAGACCAACAGGCCAGTCAAATTATACAAAAAAATTGAAACAAAACCTGAAGCCAGAAGAATGCATTATACATTGCGATTTTAGTGAAAACTATAACACAAAATATGCCTCTGAGATTCAGTCTTTCCACTTTGGCAGTTCCAGACAAGTAACATTGCACACCTCTGTTATTTATTACATTAAAGATGTAAAACTGTGTAAGCAGTCATACTGTACTATCAGTGAATGTTTGCGCCATGATGCCGTCGCAATCTGGAAACATTTACAGCCAATTCTCCGATTTCTTGAAAACGAGGTGCCGGACGTAACAACCTTTCATTTTATTTCGGATTCACCATCGGCGCAATATCGTAATCGCAAAATGTTTTACATAATGGCGAAAATGCACTGGTATTTTTCTAGTTTGCGATTATTAGTGTGGAATTATTCTGAAAAAGGACACGGGAAAGGGGCTCCTGATGGTGTCGGAGGAGTTCTAAAACGAACTGCTGATCAAATAGTTGCGAGAGGGAATGACATTCCAAACATTGAAATTCTTGTCAGACACCTAAAAGAACGCTGTCCAGGAGTTATTATAGAAGTCGTTTATGAGTCGGGCATATTAGAGAAAGATATGCTGATTCCCGAAAATTTAAAGGAATTCCGCGGGACCATGAGAACACATCAGGTTGTGTGGAGTGCCAATCAACTTCAGACTTTAGCTATGAGAGAACTTAGTTGTAGCTTGGACAATTGTTCACAAGAAGCCATTCAATGTTCTCACGGTCAACACATTGGTTTTTATACCATAGAAGACATTAATAAACAACAGAGTCACCACTCTGTTGTGTTAAACGTCAAATCCGCGGATAAAAGAAAGGTGACATCGAAGAAATCTACGTGCAGCTCTTTGATCAAAAGTAGCCAAATATCTGCTACCGAAATTCAGACTGGAAAAGATACGGATACAACCCAACAAGACCTCGACCTTCCCGATGACTACAGCTTTTGGATGGATACTTCGTCAATGGATGAAAGACTTATAACTCCAAAATTCACCAGAGATGTCCTATCGACCCTCCATCAGAAAAGCGTAGATGATCGCTCAGATTCTGACGATGAGGATATTTTTGTGTTTAAAAAGCCTCAATATGATAAGCGGACAAAAGAGTCTCACGGCATTGTTGAAGATATGATTATTCCATCTTCCTCCGAAAATTCAAGATCTCGTCAACAAGAAAAAGGCTTTATGGATGATATTGAAAGCAGCTCCGTCCCTAGCCCAAAGCCAAGAAAATATTTCTTTTAGTATCTACCTATTTAACTTTGACCTTATTACTTATTAGTTAATTATACCTAGAATCTATATTTCTTTGAAAGTTGATAAGGAAGATTATTGTCAAAAATGCCATTTAAAGTTGATCTCATTTTTGTTACTTTATTCTTAGGTAGTAATAAATAAACCAATGTGATTGGTAATGTCAATTAATAATTAAGACTGCTATTCTCACTTTACCATATAATACAAGAATTATTATAAATACTGGAGTTTAAAAATATTTTTACAAGAATTATTGTTTAATTCATCAGATTTCTTTCCGTGATATGATCGCTGATAATTGTTTTCATAAAAAAGGTTATTGTTGTTATTCAAATATGATTTTTTTATATGATTTTTCAAAACAGTTTTTTATGATTAAAACTACTTTTACGGATTTTATCGCGTTTATTTTTGCTTTTAATTACTTTTATTTTTAATTCCCGACGTTTCGGGCGCTTTCCAGCACCCATGGTCACGGGGGACTGAGATGACTGACGTCCCGATGTCATTGTTAAACCCGGAGTACCTTCAGCTTTTTTAATTATTGTTTATGGTCCGATCTATGCAAAATTAACTGACTATGTCTTGAGGTCTTGCAGTGGTATGCTTGGGTTTAGTTTTAATTTTATTGATTATAGGATCCCAAGCAGGTGGTAGTACCCAGCCTCCTTCTCTATTGAAATTAGGATGTTTTTTAATTTCAATAGCCTCACGTATCATCCTTGGTAGGAATCGGTGTTCTTTCGCGAGGATTTGTGGTCTATCAAATCTGATGTAATGGTTGGGGCCATCTAGGATATGATCACAAACTGCAGACTTCCCGGAACGTTGATGCTTCACATCAGCTATATGTTCTTTTACGCGGGTTCTAATTGATCTTTTTTGTTTGTCCTATTTAAGAGAGACCACATTCACAATCAAGCTTGTACACTCCTGCATCTTGTAGAGGAATATGACACTTGACGGATGGTAGGAACTGACTAATCTTCTTCGGCGGCTTGTAGAATGTTCTAATAGAAGCTCGCTTCAAGATATAGTCAATGTTGTCTGTGACACCTCTGACATATGGTAGTACAGCAGGCACACGCTCGACTGTGGCTGGCTTCACTCGGTCACTGTGACGTAGGCGCGGGACCCGAAGCTTGTTGTCGTGCAGAACTTGCTTGACGTGCTGAAGCTCGGCGGTCAGGTGTTTGCTGTCACAGATCCCTCGTGCTCTCTGTAACAAAGATTTGCCCACGGTAGCTAACTGTGAAGGATGGTGGTGAGATTCACCGTTTAAATATCGGTTTGTATGGGTCTTTTTCCTATACACAGTGTGACCAATGGCGTTATTAGGATTTCGGATGACTAACACATCTAGGAAAGGTAAGGAATTATTTGCCTCTAACTCCATAGTAAATTGAATTTTAGAGTTTATGGAATTAAGATGTTTTAGAAATGCAGTTACTTTGTCTGATGGTAAAATTGTGAAAGTATCGTCTACATACCGCTTGTAGATCCTTGGTGTAACAGGTGCAGTAAGGAGGGCTTTCTCCTCAAAGTCTTCCATGAATATATCGGCGACAATGGGAGATACAGGTGAGCCCGTCGCAACACCATCTACTTGCTTGTAAAACTCTTCCTTCCAAAGTAGATAGCCAGATGGAAGGCAATGTCTTAGTAATACTGCATATTCTGCTGGCATGTTATTTTCCTCTAGTTTCCTAGTTATAATTGAGATGCAGTCTTCAACAGGTAGGCATGTAAATAGAGACTGAACATCAAAACTGACCATGGTTTCATTGTCAGTAAGATGTAAAAGTACATCTTACTGACAATGAAACCATCTTTTACAGTAGACGTAAAAGAACATATAGCTGATGTGAAGCATCAACGTTCCGGGAAGTCTGCAGTTTGTGATCATATCCTAGACGGCCCCAACCATTACATCAGATTTGATAGACCACAAATCCTCGCGAAAGAACACCGATTCCTACCAAGGATGATACGTGAGGCTATTGAAATTAAAAAACATCCTAATTTCAATAGAGAAGGAGGCTGGGTACTACCACCTGCTTGGGATCCTATAATCAATAAAATTAAAACTAAACCCAAGCATACCACTGCAAGACCTCAAGACATAGTTCATTTTGCATAGATCGGACCATAAGTAATAAAAAAAGCTGAAGGTACTCCGGGTTTAACAATGATATCGGAACGTCAGTCACCTCAGTCCCCCGTGACCATGGGTGCTGTACATAGATAAATAAATATGTAGCAAGCTAGTGCTGGAAAGCCCCCGAAACGTCGGGAATTAAAAATAAAAGTAATTAAAAGCAAAAATAAACGCGTGTTCGCGTAAATATAAGAAATCAATACAGTTTTTTATTTTTATTTCTGTTTCTGATTCATCTGTAACAAATTCTGATTCATCTATGCACAAATATTTGAACGTCGATATCATGAAAACTACTTTATAAAAACGACTCCCTCATTCAAATATATGTTATTTGGTATACCTTTTTTTCATATGAACATGTGTTACAAAGCTGAAAGTGAAATTATCAGTCGAAGAATCAAATTTCGAAGAACTACTCAAATCTGACTTGCGCCCTCATATTATAATCAGTTAGCAGGGAAAACAAGAGGCTTGGTATACGTATTCAAAAAATTAAGACACGTGACAGACTATTCTTTACTGAAGACTGTTTACTTATCATTGGCATAGTCTTCTTGTCCTACTGTATTACCTCATAGGGTGGAGCCCGTAAAACTCATCTCATAAAATTAGAAAGAGCGCAGCGTATATTACTCAAAGTAATGACATTTAAACCATATTCAGAATGTGACGTATTGACAGTTAGACAATTGTATATATAAGACACTGTTATATTCCAACATGAAAAACTTACGTATAATCACGAATTAACAACCAATCGCAGGAAAGATAAGGTCTGTCCTACTTGCCATTTTAAAACATATTTTATAACTAAATTGCAATGCTACTTAGATATATGCTTTACAATTAAATAAATAAAATTTTGCAAATCCACTCGCTTAACAATGTAAAAAACGACTATTATCTTGGTTAAAAACTTTAAATACAGAAGAAACTGAAAATTTCTTGGTCACTTTAAAATAATATTACATTAGAATAATATAACTCTGCTAAAAGTACTTTAACTATACTAATTAAAAATTATTTCACTTTTATAGCTACTTATAAAACTATATTTAATTAGTCACAAAGTAATTTAAAAAAAAAAACCTTTGCAAAAACCATGAATTAAATAATTATATAATTTGTATTGACTGTTCACCGAACATTGCATAACTTTTGTTAAATACCTGTAGAATTACTAAAGTTATATATCGTATATCTTTGCAATACTTCATTGTAACCTAT